CCGGGCCTGAATAAAGTAAAAATGATTTAGAGTCACACAAACTTACTAAATCTGGTAAGGGACAATCTTAGTGGAATGAACCAAAAAGGTAAAATGAGACAATTTTAGCGGGACAGAGAAAGAATTATTTTTCTTTGATTGATGTAACGATCCTGAAACTAATGATATAAATATAGGTGATTTCCTTTAAAAAAAATACTCTGTATGAAAATAGCTAACATGATAAGCCGAAATCAACTCAAGTCAAACTAGTTACAAAAGTAACTTCAATGTTACTTATTTTGATTATTACGTACGCTATTCAATGTACAAAATTGAAAATTATGTGTTTGACAAAAAAGTTGATTGATGAGGGTGATAAGTCGAAAGTTGATGTTACTGACAGGTCTCGTTATCAATTCAAGATTTTCCCCCTTTTTGTCCAAAAATACCCTAGCCGAACCTGAAAATTTGCACTAACTAGTGGCCCCTAAAATCTATAACCCAACTTGAACTGGTCAAAACTTGAAATTGTTATGCTTACTCACAAACAATTTAATTTAACAATATTATTTTATTAATATGTATCTTTAATGCAATATAAAGAGAACTTATCAGAAATAATTAGGCCTACATTATTAAATTGTATGGTGTAGGGTTATTCGGTGAAACAATGTCACATTCAAAGGATAAGTGTGCATTGGATGTGTAAACATATTAGAAAAGACCGATTGAGGAATGAGACAATCAGAAGAATGTTGAGGACAACGCCTATTGAAGATGAGATGAAAGAGTCTCTATTGTGGTGGTTTGACCATGTGGACAGAAAATCGAGTGTTGCCCACGTCAAACGAGTTGAGAGGTGGGGATCGGAGGAGAGAGAGATGAAGATTCAAACATGCATAAATTAGAGGAATGAGGAGTAATACTCTATTTTGTAGGTCGCATGAGAGTATGACTTTGGAGATAGATCGGAGAAGTTGACGTAGAATATATACTCGGGTGAAGGATTGATCTCATTTCACTTTTTCTATAATCTTTTTATCTTTTACATATATCTTTCTTATATTTTTCCCTTTTTATCTTATCGTTTTTATCTTTATATTTCTCTTATGGTATTTAATCTTTCTTTTATCTAATCTTACCTTCTTATTTTTTTAACCTTTTTATTTTTTGCTCTAATTTGGTATGTATGTTCATGTTGGCCTTGATTGTTTGTTGTTGGACTTGAAGTGTTGGCGCTTCTAGATGCTCTTAGTTGTGTATGTTAATAAGTTTTGAGAAAAATAATTCAAATACTTCAAACTTTCAATGGGTGTGAGGTCAAGACCTCAAACATGCATATGTAATATAAATATTTCAAACATTATATAAAAAGTTGTGTTGTTGGCACCATTATCATATGATTTCTTTCTCACAAATTTAACGTTATGATGTTAAATAAATAAATTAAATACGTACATTTATCATTTATGATAGTGCAATTAACATTCTTAGCTTCTACTTTTGAAATAACTAATATTGTTTCTGTCTATATGTATAATTGCAACACTTTTGATTTGATATTTGGCAATACACAAATTTGACTATTAACATTGACTGTTAGTAAAAATTGTAGACTTTAAAAAGTCATATTTGAAAATTATAATCCGGGACAAATTTTATAATGTTGGATATAAGAAAATTGTTTAATACATCATTGAATAAAATAAAATCATAGAGGGTGTGAATAATGTAAAAGACAATTAAATATGTTAATAATGAAAGTCGTGCAATGACAAATAGCAAATTAAAAGTGTTGTAATTAATAGTTAATAAAAATTAGGAACCCGTATGTATTTTGGAAACTACTCTTTATTATAAATATATGTGTCACGGCCCTCATTACGGTAACATATTCCATTTATTCACATGGTATCAAAAGCCTAAAAATTCCAAAACCCTAGATTTTTTTTAACCTTCTCTGCTGACGACGCCGTCAGGATGACCGGCGCAAACTCCGCCACGCATTCCATGTCAGAAGCTATCTCTTTGTTTCCTGCTTGTGTTTCGATCACCGCTCCACGGTCGATTCGACCATCGGCGCCGCGATGCTGTCAGTCGTGTCGCAGCTGGCCACAACTGAGTTCATCACGCCGACCGCTAGCATGTGGTCCTCTCTGACGTTTTTCCCTCTATTCCAGAGCCTGCGTCAAAGCTTTCCATGACAGCTTCCCAGGACTGATCCCTTGCCGCCATTCATGTCCTTGCCGACAACACACGGTTCTCAATTCTACGGTCCTACTTTTACGGGCTCACCAGCCGAGTCCTCTATTTTCGGCAGTCCTATGGCCTCGTGGGTACAATATATCTCTTACTCATATCTCGAATGTTACTCAAATTCGACAGTAATTATAAGACTGGATAATTATTTATTTCACAATGAAAGTTTATAATGTAAATTGTATCTGCACAAATGCTAAATATTTTAAATTGTGTACTTAAGATCATAAATTTACATTTGTGAACGAAAAAAATATATGATTATGGTGCTAAGATAACTTTTTATATATATGATGTCCGCGGTATAAATATTACATAAATAAGTTTGGAGTATTTACCTCACACCTCTTGAAAGTTTGGATATTTAAATTATTATTCCCATATTTTAATGTAATTATTTATAAAAAAAAACTATGTTGTATAAAAATCCCTGAACTAATCCTAGTCTCCCAAAAACTCACCCCCAACCCATGAGAGAAGTCGAGTCAACTGAACAATCCTACCCTAGGTTGCTAACCGATCGACATCTATATACCACCGTGACAAGTAGTCGTTCTTAACCAGGGATGGAGCTAGGATTCGATTGAAGGGGGCCGAGGTGAAATAAAAATAATACGGAGTAATATAATTCCTCTGTCCTATTGGACTTTGCGAAATTTACGTTAGGTGTAAAATAAAACAAGTAAAAATTGTAGTTGAGGTTTGTGTGGATGAGAAAGAAATAAGCAGAATCCCAAATTCATTGCTTTAAATGGAAAGTGACAAATTTATGGTACAAATAAAATAGATGTTGGCAAAAAATCACATTAGTAGCAAGTAATACATAAGTATAATTCCTAGCTCATAACATCTTGATTATTATCCAGAAATTAACCCTTGAAATACTAAAGAATAACATGGGGGGAGAAAATTAAAAAAACTAATACTAATAAAAAATGAAAAGTTGGGGGCTTTGCCCCCCTAGCATAAGCTATAACTGCGCCCCTATGTTCTTAAATGATTGACTTCATGTGCCCGGTTATATCCAGCACAACTTCCTGAAGAACACTCATTGATTCGTCAAACATTCGCGTATTCTAATAAGAAACTAACTCTCTCACACTGTCGCTTGAGGCAAGACCAAGTACTTATTGTGTCACTACTCAATCTAGCCGCGAGGTCTATTATTTGGGAAAAATCCTCCCAAGTTCACCCCTTAATGACATGAACCCAAAACTTCCTATAAATATTCTAAGTGTAAGATGTGCCCCACTTGTGCGTGTGGTCATTTTTTATTTGGGCTTTGGTTGACTCTATCTGGACCACATCAAGACTAAAAACCTTTTCTTAACTAAATATAAAGACTTGTTTTAGCCCCTAATTATCATAACATATGATTTTACATATTCATATGATTTTCTGATGGAAGTCAAATAATGCGAATTAAAGCTGGCGGACCACTGAAGAAATGTGTGAAAAGAAATAAAAGAAATGCCAACAACATCTTTAAGTACTCTTTGCTAGTAAGAAAGTTCTGGGGTTGAGTTGATTCTACTTGTTTTGGAAGTATATATTGATTACTTGAGTTACCTACTTGCTGGATTACATTGTCTTGAATTTTGAGAGGTTATAATGAAACATTTGTTCAGGTTGGGCATATCCAGGGCCGGCTCAATAGATTAGGAGACCCAGTGCAAATAATGTTAAATAGCCCTTATATTTAATTAATATAATATAAAAAGCAGCCTTTAAAAATAACCCAAAAAAGACTACAATCAAATGTGACATTGAGATATAATCATATTTCGAACCTGAACAACCAAAATCGGTAAAAAAAACTAAAAACGAAAAGACGTGAATTAAAATCATGAACTAAAAAATATAGAGTAGGATATTACTGAAAAAACTACTCCCTCCGTCCCTTAAAACCAAGCTCGTACAAATTGTACGGGGAATTTGTGCTAATTATTATAACTAGGCCTTATCCAGGCCTTATGTAATAAAGAACTTGTACATTTATAATTAACAATTGCATTTTAATTACATATTAACATTAGTATTTAATGTTTGTGTTTAAAAACAAAAATACTAAAATAGGAATCTTTAATCAAATAAAAAAGGATTTTGTATATTATGTAAACTATATTTAAAATTTTGGGCCTTCTGAATCGAGAGGCCTTGTGCGGTATCACTTCTTGCACGCCCTTATCTACGGCCCTAGGCATATCCGATGTGAACCAAAATGAAACCATATTCATTTCAATTTTAAGTTGGTAGCATTTTTTTAACTTGAATATATTCAACCTGAAATTAAATCATTAGCATTACATTTTTAATTTGATAAATATTTCCAAATTACCACAAATAAGTTCTAGTTGAATTTAGGATGTTTTTACTTAGACTGAAATTTGCATGTCTGGTCTGATATGATCTAAATTGATCTGATACAATGTCCGGTCTCTATGTATTTTATAACTATCCAAATGTCTGGTCTGAACTGGTCTGGTCTAGTCTGTGATTGAAAAGAGTCCGAGTAAAAACATTCTTAAAGCGAATGAAACAAAACATAACTAAAATATCCGACTAAACTTGGGCGTATATATATTTCTTCAAAAAAAAAATCAAAATGAACAAAAATTGACCAGACCAAACCAATCATGCACAATTTATTATGAATTTAGTAGTAATCATCCCGCAACCTCTTATAAATCAAGTGAATAAGAACAGTAAGAACACATACCATACCTGAATTACCTCAGACTAAATTTCACCCAGCAAGGTTTTAAAGTTAAAAATGATTAAATTACATAGTATTGTTAAATTAATATTAAATCTTTGAACAAGAAAGGTTTCAAAACCCAGAAAGGGTTGTAAAGAGGAGTAAAGCATTTTACACACACTTAAATAGGAGTTTGTTTATGTAACTCTAAACTATGAGTTCCCTAATATTTACTCTGGACAGTGTAATATTGTTTCTACAAGTAAATAATTTATCAACCTCAGCTGGTTTTTACTGGGAAAAAAGGCTTAAACAGCCACTGGAAAGGCCATTGCCCTTGGGTTCTCTTCTTCCTCCAAAACCAAATGGCAGCACTATACTCCTCATTCCTAATCTTTGTAGTGGCAGCCTTCCAATCATATTTCTTCGTTTCTTCGCGTGCAGCTTTGCCAATGGTTTCTCTCAACTCGCGGTTCCACAGAAGAGGCTCCAGTTTCTTCAAACAGTCGTCAACATCTCCAGGATTGAACAAATACCCAATCTTACCTTCTTGATCGTCCGCAATGATTTCTGGAATGCCACCCGCACGAGCTGCCACCACGGGAAGTCCGGACGACATGGCTTCCAGAACCACTTGCCCAAGTGTCTCTGACTCAGAAGGCATCACGAAAACATCTCCACTGGCATAAGCCTGAGACAACTCCTTTCCTGATAACATGCCTGTGAACACCGCACGCCCCGTGCCCGAAAACATCTTCTCTAGTGCCTCCCTACAATGACAGAGGTGATGTTATTAACACGCCCCTCAGTTCAAATCATGCCAGGCAATATGAGTACTAAGCCACTTACACTCAAACGTCCATCTCATATGTATTTTAATATGAAGTATTAGTCTGCTCAAACAGGCTAGTGACTGAAACCAAGTCTTAATAGTCTAGAGTAACTTTAATTTGAATAGGCCTTTGCAACTTACCTGTATGGACCATCTCCTATCAAAGCTATTCGAGCTTCTGGAATTCTATCCATGAGCCTGTTTAAAAAATGAATTCAAAATGAAGGGTCACAGGAAATAAAAATGAGTACAATTTAGGACAATACCTTTTTAGAAAATCCAAGCTCTTCTCAACTCCAAGTCTGCCAACATGGACTATCAGCGGCTTGCCAGGCTCTCCATTACTTTTTAAGCATCGCAAAAATGGAAAATGAGAATGATTCTTTAAGCATATAGTAGAAGTGTATGAAAAGGTCTCAAACTTAAAAAAGAATCATTGGCTAAAATATACAACCTGAGTCTTAGTCGCATTTCGTGTGAGCGGTATTGTGGATGAAAGCTATGGGAATCCACACCCTTATTCCATAAACGGATTTTGTTAGCTGAAAAGAAGCACAAACATATGTAAATGGAAGAGCTTATTCTGTTAGTCACAATGACCGTAGAAGCTAATGAACTTCAATAACAACACATTATAAGAAGCTAAGGATCATAAAAGTGATTCTAAATGGAAAAGTAAATGTTAAGGGATTATGTATTATGATCCTTAGTGCATAGTTCAGTTAAAGAAAGACTGTTAATACTTCAGTTATACTTTTTATATACTACGTAATTTCCATGTGACATAACTTAATAGAGAATATTAACTCATGTAAAAACTAAAAAAAAGCAAAAAATAAATAACTCATGTAAATAATAGTTCTTACCTTCTGTGACCTCATTATCTTTGAGATCTTTCGCAATTGCAGCAGAAGGAACAAGCGTAAGATCAGCAGCTCTGTGAAGAAGTTCTGGAAAGCAATATAAATTGCACTTCTTATTCATGGTAAAAGTACATCACGTTTCAATGATCAGCAATCATAGGAAAACATTTGCTATCATACTTATGATTAACCACATAGGTTGGACCAGCCAACTGTAAGTGTATCTTGGAATGTATCTGCAAAACAATAAGTAATCAGCCTAACCTTTGATTTGGTATGTTTTTCCGAAAACCGAAGACAAGTAAAATCCATTTTATTCCGAGAGTACTAATAAAGCTAACATACACTGGAACATGAGTGTGGTAAGACATAACTAAGGGCACAGACAAAAGTTTTGCAATGATTAGAGCACCAAATACCTATAACACAACGAACTGTCAAAATAATACAGGATGTTTTATAGCGAATGCATGGCAAAACAAAGAAAATTAGTGCAATAGAAGATGTTAAAACATGGGGTTTCATCCAAACTTTTCCGGTGTGGGACATTTAACACCCCTCCTCACGACCAGACACTTTGTCTGGATCGTGCCATCATTGCATTCATTGTATTTTTCATCGGTTCGTTTTTTTTATTCGACACTAATTGTTAGTTTTACATAAGGGGCCCCACACCATGAATCAATTTGGCTCTGATACCATGTTAAGACACGGGATTTCATCCTAAAAGGTCAACCTGATAGGAGGAATAACCCATGTGTTAATAATATAGCACTTTGTTCATCCAAACTTTTTCGATGTGGGACATTTAACAGAAGACAAATAAATTCACATGGTTCACTAACGTTATGTTGGCTACATCCATTGCGGTTTATAAGGAGGTTAGGTTTCGAATTACGGAATACACAACAAAGTAAGATCCCGCAATTCTGCAAGCAGTATGATAAGATTAAGGCATATTAACAAACCGAATAGCACTTTTGCCCCGGTTTAGATTTTATAAAGGATATTGTTGGAGTCCCACATCACACATAAATGGAGAATGATGGATCAATAAGACTTTGGGTTAAATTATAGTCCATTTTCAATGTGTTTTAGCCATATTACTATAGCCACCTTAATCTAATCCTAAATTCTAAGATATTTACAACATAAGAGACATGAGCAAATGGAAACTAACCATTATACCAGGTGATGAAGCATGCACAATGTCAGGCTTGAATTTCATCACCTCGGATATAACTCTTGGGCTAAGAGCCAGAGAAAGCCGCACGTTAGGGTACCAGGGACAAGGAAAGCTGAAAAATGTAAATGAAAATCAATTAGTCAGGCAATGCACAATTTTAAGCACACCATACAACACCATTCAACTATCTGTCACACATTGATTTGGATAAGTAATATACTCCATATATGATATTCTGATTTCTGAGCAAAATATTCCATACATTCTAGTTTAACTGTCTTCGACTCCAGTTTGTTTCTTTGTACAGATATATCAAATCATTTTTTTTAAATCGATTCATATTAATCAAAATTTCCAAGTATACCCTTTTTAGCAAGAGAGCAGAAATGGGAGGTAAGGATGTTTTCTTGTGGACGGTAATTTGCTGGTCTGGTCTGTTTAAGTCAGGTCTAATTTGGTCGGAACCGGTCTGGTAAATGTCTGGTCTATGTGTATTTTATAATTGTCCAAATCTGGTCTGGTCTGGTTTTTTTAAGTCTGGTCTGGTATGTGACTGAAAATAGTTCAAAAGAAAACATCCTAACTATATTAAAGGTTATGATTAATTTATCACCATAATACATTTTCTTAAACTGTTTGGTTTAGCCAACGTAGTAGATATGGCCAGAGTGAATATATAAGTAAACAAATGCTTATATAAAATTATAAAATAAGATGAGCATATGACAACTATGTTACTATGTATACATCGGTTAGATTGGAATAACCTTCGTGACCCTATCAATTTTGCCCCATAAAATTCATGTGGAAGTCCCTGAAGTGTTGTCACAACCATAACCTGCACAAAAGAAAATCAATTATCTATGAGAGGAGAAACAATGGACCTATGGGGGCATGGTGGGCAAGTACCCTAGCTAAATCCCTAATTGCGGTCCTAGAGAAGGATTTGTGCCCAGCTTATGATTTATGATGCATTTGAAAATTATTAGTTCTTAGACCAGTGAAAACTATTATTCGTTCTTAGATGAGTGTTTATTGAAGGCTTAAAGTGGAAATATGTGTTCTTTATGAAAGTTGTGACCTTTAAATTAGCTTCCAGGCTCAAATGGATAATGGTACACTGAGATATTGTCAAATTTCGGCTCAATATCGACTTAAAAACATAGTCAATCAAGTCATGTTAACATGTTATAGCATGTAAATCTTATAAAAATTCATATGGGTATAAATTTGAAAAATAGTGTAATAATTATATAAAAAATAGAATAAATTCAAAAATAGATAAATAATTTTATAAGGTTAACAAACAGAAAAATGAATGAATATAAAATAAAAGTGTAAAAAATGTAACAATAATTGCAAAAAAGATAAATATAGACTTTGACATTCTATAATTGTTGTACATAGTTTGCACTTATACTTCTTCAAATTTAACAACTATTTTGGATCCGTTAGTGATAGAGCATGAAAGTCAAGAATTACAAGCGAAAGAAAAGGGGAAAGAACACAATAAATGGATTGTGTAACTACTAGGAAATGAAGTCATAAAATGCATCGATCCTTTGACAAAAAAAAAACAGCCTCCTTGCCTGTGAAAGTATGTGACAAATAAATGAACAATCATTGAGATACCTCATCCCCTAATTCCCGTAGATATTTGATGAAATTCTGAAAACGATTCTTGTATCCGGATACATATCTGCACATGGGCATGGAATACAAATATCAGCCGTTTTTTTTTCTTTTTAATGATTATAATAATAATCGTGTCAAATCGCTACAAGACATATAAAATTAGAACCATCAAAGATCAGTAATTTTTTGTATTGGTATATTTTGTGGGACCCACTAATGCTCATTCTTGGTTGAGTAAAGTCGGAGTAATAAGGACTTACGAGAAAGGAGAGGGCTCAACGAAGAGAGCAATACGCCTGGGCCTAGAAGTGGTCTCAGTAAGAAGGGGGGAAAGGCTCTCCCGCGCTACCTCACTTTTAATTTCCATCTATCTGTCCTTAATTGCCCAACTAATAAGAAACAAAAACTACGGTGAAATGGATGGGTATAAAAGAGTGACAGAAAGGGAAGTAAGAGTAAAAACTAGGCAAGAGAAAAGAATGCTTTACGTGTAGACAGTGGATTCCTGGGTATAGAGTATGGTTTAAACAAATGTGTGCGCAAACTGAAAAGGTAGTCAAAGGAAGGGCTAGATTTATGGAATCTAATTGACCCTCGGACATGATAAGATATTAAGATTCGCTCATGGTACTCCTAAGTGAGCATAGAACATACCAGTGTGCTGCATATATTTTTTCATATTTTGTCAATTTACTTTCTATGAGAGAATACAATTGAGGGAATAATAGCATACCAAACTAGGTAGCCTCATGGTATATTTATAATAGAATCATACTATCCTCCGTTTCTTTTTAATCGCAACATGTTGAATTTTACACTATTCACATGATCTACTTTGACTACATTTTACATTATTATTTAATAAAAATTATTTTTTAAAAAAGACATTGTTCAATTCATCTCATTACAAAGTTTCAAAATCGAATTTTTAATTATTTTTTACTAATAGAGATTAAGATATAATTACGGTCAAAGATGTGCGTTGGCAAATGTGAAATGTTGACTGTTGCAACTAAAAAAGAACGGAGGAAGTAATATGGAAGGTACAATAATATCCTAAAATATATTGTGCTATTACACCCCCTCAATCTGTGCAGAAGACATGACGCGCAGATTGGATTTTAAAAATTCAAAACGCTGACTAGACAAGTTTTTCGTAAAAATATCAGCTAACTGAAACTGTGTAGGGATGTATTTAACAATAAGATCACCATGAGCTACCCATTCCCTGACAAAATGATAATCAATTTTGATATGTTTGCTGTGATCGTGCTGTATGGGATTCACTGCTAAATATGATGCTGAGACATTGTCGCAGTAGAGCTGGACTGGCTTGGGCACAAAGAAGCCCATATCGGCAAGAAGAGAACGAATGAAAAGTGTATCCTAAACGGTATAAGCAACAGCCCGATACTCGGCCTCCGTAGATGATTTTGAAACTGTGGGTTGTTTCTTAGACCGCCAGAAATCAGATTATCTCCCAAAAAAATAGCATAACCTGTAGTAGAGCGGCAACTATCGGGGCAACCTGCCCAATCTGCATCCGAATATGCAACAATAAGAGATGTATCACCCCCTTTCCTCAACCACAGGCCTTCAGAAATAGTGCCCTGCAAATATTTGTAGATATGCTTCACAGCCAAAAGGTGAGTAGTACGAGGAGCATGCATAAACTGGGAAACTAAATGAACAACATAAGTAATATCCGGTCTAATAATAGTCAAATATTGTAAAGCACCCACCATGTTGCGGTATTCAGTACCGTCGGCCAAGAGTTCTCCATCAGTCAAGGAAAGAGTTGTACGAGAGGGAAGAGGTGTACGGACTGGTTTAACAGTGTGAAGGTGAAAACGACGCAATAGATCGGAGATGTATTTTTGTTGTGACAAAAACATCCCCTTAGAAGTGTGAAGTGTCTGAATACCCAGAAAATAATGAACCTCACCCAAGTCTTTCATAGCAAAGGTATGAGATAGAGCAGAAATAACTGAAGAGACTGTGGATGAGGAATTGCCTGTAATAAGTATATCATCAACATAGAGAAGAATGTAGACAGAGGACGAATTATGACGATACACAAACATAGACGAGTCAGACTTACTCTGGGTAAAACCATGACTTAGTAAAAAACCGCTAAACCTGTGAAACCAAGCTCTGGGGGCCTGTTTGAGGCCGTATAATGCTTTGCGTAGCTGACAAATATGATGAGGAAAAGAGGGATGAACAAAACCTTGTGGCTGACGCTTATACACCTCTTCAGTTAGATAGCCATATAAAAAAGCGTTTTTGACATCTAACTGACGAACACTCCAACCAAAAGAGGTAGCAAGAGAGAGTAAAAGACGAACTGTAGTGGGTTTAACCACCGGACTAAAAGTCTCTGAAAAATCTACTCCAGCCTGCTGCTTGAATCCTTGAGCAACCAACCGAGCCTTATGGCGTTCAATCGACCCATCAGAATTATATTTAGTTTTATAAACCCACCTGCATCCTACCACATTTTTGCGAGAGTCGTAAGGAACTAATTCCCAGGTCTTATTGGCAATTAATGCATTAAACTCTTCGGCCATAGCCTCCCGCCATTTTAAATATTTATTTGCTTGTGAAAAACACGTAGGATCCGGGGGACACTCACTAGCGGTAAGAGAGAAAATATTTTTGGGTTTAAAAATGCCATCCTTAGCCCGAGTGCGCATGGGATGTATATTTTGGACCGGATGAGGAGAAGGGGAGGGGCTGGGCGACGGGCTCGGTGATGGAGAAGAATTGGACGAAGCAGATGGAATCGACGAGGTCGTGGACAAGGGGCTGGAGAGGGGACTAACAGCATGAATAGATGGGGACGGACTGGGTGGTGTGAGGACACGGTTAGGTGGGGATGTAGGGGTAGCCGTGATGTTGGTCGTGTGCGGTGCTGAGGACGGTGAGTAGAGGTTAGTAGGACTATAGGGGAATCGAGACAATGGTGGAGTGTGGGCCGTAGAGGACATTTCGGCATAGGGAAATTTATCCTCATGAAAAATGACATCACGACTAATGTAGACCCAACCGGTAGTAGGATCAAAACATCGATACCCTTTGTATCCAGGGGCATAGCCAAGAAAGACACAACGGACAGATCGAGGTGATAGCTTATTTGCCGAAGTGGCTATTTGATTCAGAAAAACATTCGCACCCAAAAACACGCAAAAAAGCATAGTCCGGATGTTTATTCAAGAGTTTATAGTACGGACTAACGCCATGCAAAACCGGAGTGGGTAAACGATTAATCATATAAGTAGCAGCATATAAAGCATCGACCCAAAATTGAGGCGGCAAACGCGCCTCAATGAGCATGGTACGAATTAATTCTAAAATGTGATGATGTTTTCGTTCTGCTACACCATTTTGAGCGGGGTGTCCGGGCAGGATTTTTGAAAAAGAATGCCGCATTTAAGAAAATGAGTATGAAAAATATGATTATCAAATTCACCCCCTCCATCACTCTGAAAACATTTAATTTTACAGTTCAATTGATTTTCAACTAAGGTTTGAAAATTACAAAAATGAGTAAAAACCTCAGATTTGCGACGCATTGGATAAACCCAAGTGAATCTGGAAAAATCATCAATAAAGCAAACATATTATTTGAACTGTAAATGCGAAAGAACAGGAGATTGCCAAACATCCGAGTGAATTAATTGTAAAGGTGCAGTAGCAGAATGTAAAACATCTTGAAATGGCAATCTATGGGATTTGCCAAGTCTACACGAATTGCATGAAAAATTGAAACTACTAGTATTATTAATTAAATGTGTGCGCCGTAAAGTAGACAAAACGCTATCACCACAATGACCCAACCGGTTATGCCAGACTTGACCAGGAGCAGATAAAGTAAATAGGGCTGGAGACATGCTGGGTGGGATGAATGGATAAATCCTATCTTTATGAGAAGCTCGGAGTAGAGTTGCCCCCGTGTGATTGTCCTTAACATAGAAAACATTTTTGTAAAAAACAACAGTACAATCATTATCCTCACATAACTTTTGAATAGATAATAAATTAAATTTGAGGTGAGGAACATGATATACAGATTTTAAAACTAGCGGGCGGTTGACCGTAGGTAAAACAATATCACCAATTGTAGACACTGGTAAATTAGCTCCATTAGCAACCTGCACATTTATGGGGTTTGCAAGAGAAGATTTATGTGATAAAATACCTTCTGTGGGTGTCATGTGTGCCGAAGCTCCAGAATCAGGATACCACACTGACTCATTAGTGTCTCCTGTAGGTAAAGCAGCAAGGGCAGGAGTAGAACCAGAGGTGAACCTAGAACATGATAGAGCCGAATGACCTGGAGAAAAGCACAACTGACACACAACGGGGGGCATTGGGGAAGTATAAGATTGCTCAACTGATGAAGAACCTGCACCAAAAGTATTAGTACGACATATAGAAGGTGTAAACAATTTAGAATTTACTAGAGGGATATTACAAATACCGTCATTAGAAAACCCAGAAGATGAATGTCCACGATTATAGTCAAAACCGTGTGGGGGAGGATACTGTCCGGGAAATCCTTGCTGCCCATATGAAGGAAAAATGCCATATATAGTAAGCACCGGGGGGGGGGGGGGTACTGCCCACGCCCCCTGCCACGCTGGCCCCTGTCGCGGCTGCCACGTGGACCGCGACCACCCTGACGCTGCTGCTGCACACCCCCTCGGCCAGAAGGTCCGCGAGGCTGCTGGCCGGAATTCTGAGATGGTCCGGCAACCACAAAATCTTGGTGGACCGACGAGGGGCCCTCTTGGTCCCGGAAAAATTGCTGCCTTCGTTCTTGAGTTTCAAGAATCGGTGCAAGTTTGTCAAAGGTGATACCTCCCGAAACCGTGGTTAGAGACTGAATTAGCGACTCATATTGGGGAGCGAGACCAATAAGGGCATATTCTATAAGGTCCCGATCACTCACCGGGGAAGTAATGGTGGCTAAATTGTCCGCCATGACCTTAATTTCCCGAAGATATTGTTCCATAGTTTGGGTCGGTTTCTTCTTGACATGAGTTAATTGACGCTTGAGCTCCATCAAACGGGCAATGTTTGCATGAGTATAGCGATCTTGAAGGCGAGCCCAAATGTGAGAAGAAAATTTCAAGTCATAAACATCAATTAAAGTGTCCCTAGATAGAGTGGCAAAGAGCCAAGATCGAACAGTTTGATCAACTCTCAACCAATGTTGATACTCGGAATTCATAACCTCTCGGCCCGAGATGTCCAGTGTGTACATTAGTGGGGCCATAATCGTGTCATCCACAATTCCAAGAAGACCATGGGAAACCAAAAAAGATTCAAATTGGGTTCGCCAAGGAAGATAGTCTTCAACGGCATTAAGACGAGTAGTCACAATATTAGTGACATTAGGTGTAGAAAACGTCAACTGGGACGCCAACTGAGACATATGTGTTGCATTATTATTGAACCCGGGCAAGCGATTTGTGGACGGAGGCGCAATCGGAAGGGTGCTTGGCTGGTCGACAAAGGTTTGGCCGGTAAACGAACGAGAATTTGGAGCCACTGTCATCGGGTAGGATGAATATAACATCGGCGGGACAGTTGGTGAAGGAGTCCATGTAAAGGGCTCGGGCATGTTGAACAACGCAAAGGAGGAAGCCGGCTGGGAGGTGCGTGATTCCCA